GCACACTTCCCATCTTGTCAGCAGTTGAAAGAAGAAGAAGAAGAAAATGACACAAAATTTAGTATGTTTCATGAAATAATAATTTATATCAAGAAAGAGTTCCACNATAATCTTGCTTTCCTGACAGATTTAACATCTCATCTAAATGCTTTAAACCTAAAACTACAAGGCAAAGAACAAAATTTCTCCCAGCTTTATGGACATATTGAGGGCTTCCGCAAAAAACTTGATGGAATGAAAATGGCACTGAAGGCAAATAATACAGCACACTTCCCATCTTGTCAGCAGTTGAAAGAAGAAGAAGAAGAAAATGACACAAAATTTAGTATGTTTCATGAAATAATAATTTATATCAAGAAAGAGTTCCACGACAGATTCCAGGATTTTGACTCCCTAAAACCAAAACTTGCACTGTTCAATAACCCCATGGAAATTGAAGTGAGTGAGTGAGGTGTCCTGCGACCTTCAAATGGAAATTTGTGATCTTCAGGCAGACCCATTCTACCAGACTAAAAAGTGTAATGTCCCTGAAACTTTCTGGAAACTGATTTCTAAAGAACGTTTCCTTAAACTGCTTAAATTCTCTCTGCAAATATTATCGCTGTCTGGCAGTACATGTGTGTGTGTGAAAGTGCTTTTTCTGCTCTCAAACAAATTAAATCAAAAACGAGAAATCGCACTGAAAGTGCTTCACTGGAATCAAGCCTGAGACTTTGCCTTACTGAACTTATAGTGGACATTGATAAACTTGTATCAGAAAAGCAGTGGCAATTATCACATTGATTTCTCGACTGTAAAATAAAGTGATATATTAAACTACTGAGTTATATGTAATTCGTTTTCTTTCTTTAATGTCTCTGGCCCTCACTTTCCTATACAAAAATTTGATTGGCCCTCGGATAACTAAAGGTTGGACCACACTGGTCTAGATAATGTGGGACCCTCAACATTTCACAACCCTATGGGACTTCATGGCTTGGTACAGGGATAGCTTTACTGTTACTTTACTTTACGTGGGTTGTTTTGAAGGCTATGTGTTAGTGTTTTTGAATAATTTTGTGATTTTTCATATGTAGTTTCCTGTATAAGAATAAGTGACCCATTTTTGTTCTTTTTTGTCTCCATTATCCGATTTACTTTTCTTTCGTTTAAGTTTGTTATGTAGTTTTACGAGTATGATGTCTTCCTTTCTATAGCCATTATTTAGCGCTATATTAATAACAGTATTTAGCTCTTTGTTTTTAGCATTTTCCTCAAGGGGTAGTGTGAGAAGTCTGTGTATCCAATTTTTATATGCCGCTAATTTTTGTTCCCTGGGGTGGCATGATTTATTATTTATTGTTATGTCTGTCGTATGCTAACCTAAATTTAAAAGGGACAAGTAACATTATAAAGCTAACCCAAAAAGAATTAACCAAACTTAGAATAAACAACGAACTAAAATATTTATATATTAAGAAATGAAATATCAACAACCAACTATATAAATTACATTTAAGAAATGCACAATGTTGGCAGCCTACTGGCCTACAATAGAAAATAATATAAATCAAGAACTAAATGAAGAATAAAAAAAAACATAATAAACTTAATAATAAAATTGATAATTTAACTAAACAACTACATGACAAAAAACTTTTAACTAATAAACAAACATTTTATCCATGTTTGCGCAATATGACTAACATACAATTCACTGAAAAAGAAGAAAATTGCTAAAAAAGGAAGCAAATATAATATGGGTATCTCACCAAAAACAAGTATAAAATAATCAGTCTACGAAACAGAAAATGCCATAAGACAGGTAAAAGATACTAATCAACAAAAAACATACAACAAATAATGTCAAAGCAAAACACAACAAACAAAGAATACAAAGAACAAACACACATGACCAAACAAATACAATAAAAACTAACACAACACAAAGCCACCATAACAGAAGCTGATAAAGGGAAAACACTAGTTATTATTTATAAACAAGATCTAAACGATAAAGTCAAATCCTTCATCAAAAATAACACTGCTGAACTAAAAACAGATCCGACACAAAAATTTCAAAGAATAGTACAAAACTTTAAAACAATGTAAAATTATAATAGACCCAATAAAAAGAAAATACATACACCAAATGAACCCACAAGCACACAAATTGAAAACAAAAATTAAAATTCACAAACCAGAGGCCCCAATCAGACCGGTAATAAATAACACTAACGCACCCACACATAAACTAGCTAAATATATACATCAAAGACTAAAAAACTATCTAAAATTAAAACACAAATATAACATCATTAATTCAATACAATTTGCAGAAAATATAAGAAAACTAAAACTAAATCCAGATCATAAATTACTAACAATGGATATTAAGGACTTCTATGTTAATATCCCAATCAACGACACACTTCTCGTGACTAATAAACTACTCAAGGATAACCATATGAACAAAAACATTATAAAAGAAATAATGTCCATACTTAGAATGATACTGAATCAAAACTATTTTTAATATAATGAAAAATTCTACAAACCAAGATCTGGCATAGCCATGGGCTCACCCCTATCAAGTACAATGGCAGAAATCTTCCTACAACACCTAGAACATAACAGAATAGAACATCTGCTGGAAGACAAGAATATTACATACTATAATAGATACGTAGATGATATCTTCATAATATATAATCAGACAAAAATAACCCCACAATGCCTCCTTGAACACTTTAATGAACAGCAAAAAACTTGCAATTCACAATAAATGAGGAAGTAAACAACCAAATAACCTACTTGGACTTAAACCTACTTAACATACATGGACAAATAAAAATGGAAATATATATCATGCCACCCCAGGGAAAAAAATTAGTGGCATATAAAATTGAATACACAGACTTCTCACACTACCCCTTGAGGAAAATGCTAAAAATAAAGAGCAAAATACTATTATTAATATAGCGCTAAATAATGGCCATAGAAAGCAAGACATCATACTCGTAAAACTACATAACAAACTTAAACGAAAGAAAAGTAAATCGGATAATAAAGATGAAAAAGAACAAATATGGGTCACTTATACTTATACAGGAAACTACATATGAAAAATCACAAAATTATTCGAAAACACTAATATATAGCAGTTCTTCTTGGGAAGAGAAAACTTCCCTCTGGATATTTTCCTTCAATTCTGCATTTGTGTGAGGGTTTCTTGTGTAAACGTTTTGCTTCATGATTTTCCATTAAGACAAATGAGTTTGTGTCATGGGAGTGTGCTGGCCACAAACCACTATTAATAATTGTTCCCCCAACATTTCTTCCACTTGCCCTTGCTATATGGGCAGTATTACAGTGTTTTTTGAAGAATACATGGAATATCTGCTTCCCATACCAGTTTTTTTCAGATGTGTGTCCTTTAAAAAACCAGTCTGAAGTATTCGATCCATACCCATACCATACAAGACACCGATTCTAGAATCATGCGGTGTAACCTCTTGTAGTAATCTTAAATTGTGTAAGATCCAATATCCATTGCTCTGAGTTTACTTCCATGCATATGTGAAAGCAAGTCTCATTGGACAAGAACACACACAGGTGATGGTCAATTTCACCACCATGAACAATCCAATGGTTCCAATTACAAAAGCCACTCCATTAGCAGGACCACATCACTGAAGTTCTCATATGATTTCAGTTTCAGGAGTTCTGTGGCAATTTTTTGTTGATGATTTTGGAACAAAAGTCTCCTGTTCAAGGCATCTGAGGGATTTCCATGCTGTACATTCAAGCCTAGGTCAACTTCATCAAATTTCTTTTCAGTGAGCACTTGACATTCTGATATGGTTTCTTTGTTCAGTAATTATCTTGTATGTCCTAATTCACGTATAAGACTAAGAATAGTTTCTATATGTAGAACTGTACCATCCTTAAATTTACATTGGAGTCTTCACCTTTACTTGCAGAACCAATTTTCACATAGGCAATGCTCAGGTTAGGTCTGTCTCACATGCTTTTTCGAACAGGAAATAACATGAATGAATGAATGAATGACTACCTATTCTAGAGAATAAGTACAGTTGCGGGGGTCAGAGGAATCCACTGCCTAAAAAATTCACTGTATTCATATATTTTGTTAATGTTTGTTAACAGACTTGCTCAAAGCATTTCTAGGCAACAGTTCAGTAAACTTGCTCCTGTGTGCAACAATGGAAGATGTGTCTTAGTGGATGAATGTTATAGCTCGTTGCTAGGCAACAGTCAGTGCACCGATAAAACTCAATGCTAAGGATCATATGACTTGTGCTTTCTATGTTGTCTGTGTGGAGCCTATGTAATGAAGACCTGTTGTAGCTTAGATTAGTGCAGAGTGAAGTGCAGTGTAGTTAAGAGTCCAGGAGAGTTTCTAGTTGAGTTCCGAGGTTCCAGGGAGATTGAACAAAAAATGGCAAGAAGACTTCATAGTGATTTGAAGCGCTGGTGTCTATGTTGAGATCCACTGCCAGGAGACAACTAGCAAAGGTGGAGAGTCCTAGTGCACGTGCAGCGGTGAACTGTAAATTGTGTAAATCAGCGACAGCGCTGTAATTAAGAGAGATTGTAACTGAAATCCTAATGAATCCTATTGAATCCAATCCAGAGCCTGTTATTTTCGTGCGTACACCTATATACATCACAGTATTATACAACAGCTCAGTCGGTATAGCAACTGGCTATAGGCTGGACTGTTGGTGTTTGATTCCTGGCAGGGGTAAGAGATTTTTCTTCTCCACACTACATAAACCGACTCTAGAGACCACCCAGCCTATTCAAGGGGTACCAGGGGGACCTTGGCGAAGGGTAAAGTGGCCGGGGCGTGAAGCTAATCACTCACTTCCATCTAGTGCTGAGGTCAAGAATGGTAGATCCATACCTCAATTAATTAAGCATGGTGACATCTTTATCCCTTTTTACAGATCCACAAAGTTATTTAGCACATAACATTCCATATTCGTGGTACTTACAGACTATGCCATAAGTGCCTTCACCAATCCTATTTAACTTCTCAAATTCAGATACAAAGCGACATCGTCCAAACTGAAAAAAATAGGAAAAAGAATGTTATATGACAAGCAGAGCCACTGTGAAGTGATTTATAATAAGGAGGTTGCATAATTACCAAGATGAAATAAATTCTAATTATTTCATGAAGATGAAGGGTGCTTACATGATGATAAATGAAAAATGACTACAGAACTGACTGATTGACTTCATATAGCACAGTCCTTCTTCAGAAGCCAGCAGTTACTCCAGAAATACCCTGACATTTATGGTGTTCATAGTTTCATTACTGTCTTCACAACAGTCTGCCACTAGATCATACCGTAAGCCAGATGAATCCAGCCCACATTCCTACACCAAATTTCTTTAAGATCCATTTTATTATTAACTTCCCACATACACAATGGTCTCTCAAGTGGTTTCTTCTCTCCTGGTTTTTTAACCCAAATGTTATATGCATTGCTTGTCTCTTCCATGCATGCTACATACTCCGCCCATTTCAACCTTCTTGATTGATTATCCTAATGATGAGTGTGAATTATGAGTTTAAAGGCATACAATACATTTGGCTACTTGCTTCTATATACAATTCAATTTCAACATTCAAAATTCAACCCGGGGTAAAATTTATATAGTCACACCTCAGACTTTCGACTTAACGTGTTCCCAAAAATGGGTTATAAATTTGCTGTAACATGGCATGTATATGATTATATTCCTAGAGCTTAAGGCTCAGGTCCATTGCTCAATATTTTAATCCCTAATACACACCAATTATATAATTTTTATTATAAAATCAATATACGGACATCAAATAATATATGAGGGAGAGTCACTAAACAGGTCACAAATGGAAGTAAATCAGATGTAATGAATGTAACAGGTTCTCTAGGTGTATCACGAAGTAGCAGCACAGTCAAGTTTCATGACAGTCTGGGTAGCAGATGAGCATGCACATATTCAGGGGTTGACTTCAGTAGTCAAAATTGAAACCCTGCTTGAGCAGTGTACGATTGAAGAGGAGCATTCTGTGGTGTGTTTTCTGTGGGGAAAAGGACTCAATACAGAGGATATTCATAAACAAATGTTTATTATTTATAGTGGGAAGTGTTTGTCCTGTAAAGTGGTTCACAACTGGGTGGAAAAACATTTCGCTGATGATGAAGAGGTTGAAATGGAGGTGTGGAAGTGACTGTGACAAGTCAAACAACTTCTGTGCTGCAGGTTTTGACACACTGGTAAAGCGATGGGACAAGTACATCAATTTTGGTGGAGTATATGTCAAGAAATGTTTGTTCCAGGTTTTATTACTACATGCTTTTGCGGGTTCAGGTCCCGATGAGGTCATTGCTATTTCTTTCAGTTGACCTAATCCTTCCAGCCGCACTATGGCCTTGGGGTCAACTCAGCCTCTAACAGAAATGAGTACCAGGAATTAATTAAATAATTTTCCTGGTGAGTAAAGCGTGGCTGGTGTGTAAGGTTGACAACTTTACCGCCATCTTTGAGCCTACTGTCTAGATCATGTGGGACCCTCAATGTCTCACAACCCTATGGGCCTTCACGGCCTGTTACAGGGATAGCTTTACTTACTTTTTTACAATTCATATCCATTTGTGACCTGCATGTATTTACTGACTCTCCCTCATAGTATTAAACATGTAAACTTAAAAAAATGTGCACTGTATGTGTAATGGGTATCAATGTAATGGATCATAAGTCCAGGAATTCATAAGTCAAGGTATGACTGTATATGTACTACCACAGTCAATAAGTTCTTGGAATGACCGCAAAGCGTCGTATGGGAATTTACTGCCAATATGTTTCAGCAGTATTTTTGACATCTATATCAACGTCAGCAGACTTGCACAGCAGCCAACGGCAACTATTTTGAGAGCCGATGTGGATCTGCGTAAGTGTATGTGAATACCCTTTAATATGAAGCGATAAAACCGCATTCCACGAACTTAATGACTCTACCACATATATATACGTGAAGCAGTTAAAAATAAATGTGTAAAATTATTATAGAAGATGGTAGATTAAAGAGTGATAAAATATGCTACAGAGGCTATTCTAGGTGACCTAAAACTATATGAATGAAGTAAGGTGAATATGATCATTTCTTTAGCTCAGCAGAAGAAATATGAAAGACTAAAAGCTCAGAATGACATAACATAATGCCAGTGTTGGACACACTCCAGTGACTACCTCTAAGGATAAAGGAGTATGTACAAATATGTTCCACATTTGCATGCAATTACTGGCAATGTCCTAGGTGAGTGTGCCCAATCTGGAGGTATGCCCTGACAGGTGAAGGACTGCCACATTTGCATAGACAGTTTTAACACTTGTCACTGGAGGTACTGGGGCATTAAAGGAACACAGCATAAAGTTTGGATTACAAATGTGGGGAGCTTTATTTCCACATTTCTGGTGTCTAATAATATGATGCTAAGTGCAGGAAAAACTCTACGTTAACCATACACCTGACAATCTGATAACACTTCTGTCTCATACATATCTCATAAAGTACAATGCACATCAGAATTATTTTTCCATCCTGCAGATCATCGTATCAATTATTTCTTTCATTAGAGCATGAAGTTACAGTATTGCACATAATGTACATGGGATTGAAAAGTGCATACAATATCTTGTTCTGGAATATCCATAGGTTTCCCACTAAGAAAAGACGTCAGAACTCCACGTCTGGTAACAGGCGCTGAAGGATCTGGCCCTGCTTCTTGTGATCCCCTGTCATCATGTTCTTCTGATCGCTTGCCTAGTTTGAAACACAGATATATACATTAACAATGGTTACATGTACAGACTAGGATGGCTCAATTACTCAAGTGACTAATTACAGGCTCAGTGATTAGGATTTGATTTTTTGGCAGGAGTACGGGTTGTTCTCATCATTACCATGTCCACACTAATGCTGGGGTACATACAGCCAACTTTACAATGTGAATCCAATAATATTTCTTCAGGAGTATAATGGTTAGATCATGGACCATTCATCTCCATCTAGTGTGTTCAGTGTGGCCAATACTGTAGCACACCACAGCTATGTGTGCTGAAGTTTGTGGCAGTGGTAGCAACACAAAGGGTATGAAATGTATTGGTACAAAGAAACTGATGGAGTCTGGCAATTCTGGAACCTTCACTGTCAAAAAGACAGTTGGAAGTGGGAATAATGAGTCACTCCCTTCCTCATAAATTCATATATCTCAGAAGCTGACTGGTCAGCAAGAACACATAGGATCTCTTCATCTGAAATCATAAAATGAGCCAGTGGTAGCATCTGTCCTGGAGGAATTCAGAGATGTGTATCTCTATACATATGGGAGGATCCAGGGAGATTCACTTCAAGGAGTTGCTTTGCTTATTTTTAATTTTCTGTGAGCTATTTCACAATTCTGTTTGTATCTAGATTACACAGTGTAGAATGGTACATGATTGATGAATTGGAAATGATTTGGAAGGAACATCACCTGAGGCACTAGCCTGATATTTTTATGCATGGCCTATGAAAAACCATAAATACCTGACAAGATAGCCAGTGTCTCAGTTGAGATTTGAACCAAGCATATTCCACATACAAGTCTACAGTACAAGCACTACACCAAGCAGTTAAATTTTTCATTACAAACTTCCATCAAAAGTGTCCCATTCTTCGCAGTAGCAGCAATATCATCCAGGGCTTTCTGTATGTAGATTACTGATATCAAGGAAGTTTTTTGTCAGAACCTGTTAATTTGAATGATAACAAACATGGAGCCAGTGATTTTGCAGCAAGAGTTTTTGAAGCTGGAATTGTGCTATCAGTTGTATGTAGTGACGGGGGCATAAAGGTAGCATGATGAATATGCTCCACTTCCAGAACCACTAGCATCAGCCTTAAGTGGGGGCATAAAAGAGAGAAAGACAGCAAAACCTTCTAGGTCTGCGCCAGGGTGGGGACATCCACCATGACCCATTCTCAAGAAATATACCAGGGAAATTACTCTTCAACACATAACTTGGAAATGATGGCAAATTGGACATTATGAGTACTACGACTGAACATTCCTTATGAAAATCTCCTAGATGGCTTGCACAGGAAACTGGGATCTAAAGTTCCAAATTTTCTGTTTCCAAGGAGGAATTTCAACACATGAAAGTGACCATGTGAAGAACATACAAGGAATTTGTGCACAACAAAATGGGCCATTTCTGTCATCTACTAAGATCTGGATGGGTTCTGTTTACTTGTTGACCCATGGGCCTGTTAAGTGCTCATGTGAGGAACGTGTTTATCTTCAATTGGGCTGGCTGAATGATCTGTGGCATGCTCTCAAGTAACCTCCACGTATAAGAAGTCTGTAAATAACTGTATTTATACACAGTGTTAAAAACAAAGGGTTACAGGATTTAAGGGGGTATAGTACTCACCTAAATGAACAATAAAGTCCCAGTCCACATAAAAAACTCTCATTTTAGTCCGCAAGCAAACTATACTGACCGAGCAACTGCCTCTTGTCGGCGAACTTAATGCCAACTTTAGCAGATTGAGGGTGTCCCATGGTCAGCACAACGAATCCCCACGGACATTAATCTCGGTTTTCTAGACTGGAGCCACTATTTCCTTGAAACAGCTCCACAATTATCCTCATGAGGCTGAGTGGATCCCATTCCAGACACACTACTTCTCAGAAAATCTGGTATCGCCAGGAATTGAACCATGGACCTCTGGATCTGTAGACAGGAACTGACCACTAGACCACAGACACTGTCGTCAGTCCATATATGCCTGCTGAAATATGGGTGAGTTTTTCTTTTGACTGGATACTAGGGTTCAGTGCAGGAAGCATTCAGAGGTCAGTGCATGTCATGTACGTTCCCTTGCATGTGTTGGGACTGTCTCAGTAGACTCAGTAGATGTGCTATTTATGTACTACTAAGGAAAAAGCAGGCTGGTCACGGTAGCCGAGCGGTCTAAGGCATGTACCGTCTTCGCTCGCTTGGAAACCGGGATCATGGGTTTGAATCCAACTCAGGGCATGGATGTTTAGTTTGTGTGTCTGCGTTTTTCTGTGTCTGTGTACAGATAGAGGCCTTGCGACAAGCTGATCACCTGCCCAAGGAGTCCTACCGAATGTGTAAGATCTAGATAAAAACGAAGTGAACGGAGCAGTTCATGGAGGTGGGCCTAGGCCCACTGGGGCTGTAGTACCAAGAAAAAAAAAAGGAAAAAGCAGTGATGGTGTTGTGATACTCATTTTATTTGAAATCCATTAAACAGTTTTGTAATGGCATCTTATTACTGTAGTCAGGAAATTACAGATATGCATTTCATGTATGGCCATGCCTATGGAAATTCTTGTGAAGCATGTCACCTCTCACAGAACACTGCCCACAACGCAAAATCCCATCCCACAAATTATTAACCAAACTTCACCAGTGATTGATTGAATTGGGATCCTCTGCTCCATGCACATTGGTTTGAAGAAGACCTCCATCAGTCTGAATTCCCGATACAGAAGCTCACATACTGAAAACAGCAGAAGACAATCCCGGAACCTGTGTGTTAATAACTGCAGCTGCTGATGGTATCAGTGCTCCCCTTGCCTGGAGAATTCTCCATGAACAATCCCTTTACCCATACCACATCCATCCAGTGCAAGCCGTCACTCCTCCTGGACACTGTGCAAGGGTGGCATTTTGCTTGCTTTTGCTTCTCACAAAATATGCCGTAAACACATAGTTTTTACCTAACAACCACTTTACTGAAGAGCAAGGATTCACATGGGGTGGTATTGTGAATTTTCATAATAGCCACATCAGAGTATATAAGAATTCAATGTTGACTTTCTAGGCATTTTAGGTCAACAACTCTAAGGAGCAGTTATTTTACATAACAAGCTAATGAGTGCAGTGTACTATAATTTTTGATGAACGGTTTACCAGTACTCTTGGAATATATGCCTCTTCATCGACAACACATTGGTTCATTCATGATGGGGCATTACCTCATTTTCTCTGCTTTGTTAGACAGTACCTGAACCAGACTTTTGGCAAACAGGAGATAGGACACAGAGGCCCAGTCAACTGGCCTGCATGATCCCCTGACTGTAATCCTCTGGATTATTGGCTCATAGGACATCTAAAGACTTTGGTCGATAACTCAGAGGTATTAGAGCAACAAGAAGAGAATGCCTATTAGAAGATGTGAATGAAAACACGAATTATTGACAGAGCACACACCTCTGTGTTACGAAGACCCAAAAGTTGTGTTGAAATGCGTGGGAACCACATGGAGCAACTGCTGTAGAGATCACATAAACATCACCCATTTCTTCATAGGCATTGGTTTCTGGACAAATGTTGACTGGGAATTTCTGTTCATTTAAGTGAATACTAGACCCCCTTAAAGCCCGTAACCATTTTTTTAATATCCTGTATATAGTTGCATTTAAATCTGTATTATTATTGTATTGTGACATTCTTGACTTGGCCCTATACATCTACAGAACATAATACTAATACTAATCAAAATAACTCGCACATTTCACGTGAACCACCTTTCAACAGGTAACACAATGTATCCCTAACAGACATTGGGGGTGTGTGGGCAAGTAGAGTCTTCAGGTACTGATAAAGCTGTCTTAGTTTACCAGCAACACACCACGTTGGTGGCATGCATTCCCATGCCATACCACGCATTCTACAGAAATTAACGTCCAGTGGCCATTAGATGGAAGCCGGACTGGATTCCACACCTAACCTGGTTGTAGCGTGAACATTTGTCAACACTTCCTGAAAAACAGCAGTCGCTGCCTGAAATCATTATTTTATTGGCCGAGTTAAGTTTTCAGTCTAAAGCTTCCCCACGCACAAATGAGATCATAAGACTAAATTCAAAGACGTGTGGCTCTTAAACCCTGCTTTTAGGTGTTAATATCAAACACCAATGATACATTTCTTGTGTCATGTTTAAGCTACTTCTAAAATTACCTTTAGTCATAGTTCGGGGGAAGACTGTTATATATGTATCCGAAATTACTCTCCACAGCTAATCGAATTCCACTCTATTTTATTCGGTCGTAAAACTTTTCACTCATACGTCCTCATTAACGCACACTACCTTCCCTTTCCTTTCCGATTTTCCGATACCTCAAGCGCTTTAACCGGTACAAGCTGCCTTTCATCAGGCGGCTGCAACTCAATGCTATTGGCGGGCAACATAGCTGCCGTGACGTCATCAAAACATCAATGATGCCACAGTGTCCGGATGGTCCGGATCACGGATACAGTGTCTGTTGATACAAAATGGCTGCCGCCAGTGCCGAGAGCTAGGTCGGTAAGAGGATATGCTATCATACCACCGGCCCTGTCGGTAAGAAAGTATGCTATCATACCACCAGCCTTTGTGTATTGCTCCCTCCCAAAGAACCACTAATTCACATGAATAGCTACAAATAATTTGCAACCCTGGCCTCTTGTACTGCAGAGTTTCTTACCCCACTGAGTGTTTTTTATTTTCAAATTGAGTTTCATATGCTACAAGCATTATGTTTTGAAACGCACAAATGCCCAGGACCGAAAAGTGGTTTGGGGTAGGAAAATATTTTAAACAATACACACACCAAATAAATATAATAATATAATTGGTTGAGTGAAATAAAAATACAAACTGTCCCAGATGAGGACGGCACAACGTAAAAGCGTCCACCAACTCCGCCGTTAATTTAGCAAACCAAAAAGTTCAAGAAATAATTTGGGGACGAGACAAGCACCAGACTCTTCCACGGCGTGCAGCAGAATCCCCTTGCAGTGTTCAGACGAGCCTCCTAGTCCCTGGTGAAAGGATGAAGGGCGCAAGCGTAGGGCAGGTGGAGAGGGGGAAAAGGAATGAAGGGGGGTCTAGTTGAGGGACATGGCGGTAGTTTCTGACGTTAAAGTTTTTGGACATTATCCATCGTCTTGTCAATTTTTTAAAAAACCATCCTCTTTCTTTTTCATAATCCACTCTCCGAAATGTTGTGTTTTGAAAAAGAAACAGGAAGGTTTTTTAAAAATAGACAAGACGATGGATAATGTCCAAAAACATAATACTTGTAGCAATATACCATCGTCACAAACTTTTAGATCTTATTTGAGTTTCATATGACTTCACTCAAAACCTTCTGGAGGGGCATGAGCTAAGTGATATCAAACTCAGTTCAAAAACAGAAAACACACAACAGAGTAAGAAACTCTGCAGTACAAGATATCAGGTTGCAACATTATTTATCAGGAGAAAGTTTCTCACCAGTGCCTGTAAAGTATGAACATTTCATTTACATCAATTCAACACCCCCTTACTGAAATGCAATGGACATTTGAACTATAACATACATAGAATACTTGTGTTTAGGAAAGCTGATGGTGGTTAAACTTGAAAGAAAATCCTGTTTCCATCAGAGATACTTGTATTCAACTTCATAACTTTGCTTACAACTTATACTTAAAGCTCTATAGAACATAGCGTTTCAGTTACATTACTATTGTAGCATGTTTGGCTATGAAACGCTACAAATAACTTTACGCCGTATTAAATATAGCGAATCTTTATTGCAATTCACTGGCACACTTTACAAATATTATGACTTGCAGCTTTACAAGTACTGGTTACACAATTCCTTGGCGTCTAGGTTCCAACCTTCTTCAGCGGCTGCTATTCCAAGACTGACTGGGTGAATGAATTCAACCCCTTTTTATACCCTCGGCCGCTGCTATACAAAATGAGCCTTTGTCATAACCGTGGAAACGCTGCTTTGTTGAGTCCGCGATTCCTACGCAACGACCCATTGTTATTGTGTTGTCTCTGTGGGAACGCTCCGTGTATTCGTCGTAACCGTGGAGATTCGATGTTCTCGACACAACAGCTCACTGTTGGGGTTACAGTATTGCTATTATTACTTCCTATGTAACGGTCCGTTCTAGTGTTTCCATAGAAGTGACTCTTCTGGATTCCAAACACGTTACATTGCTCCCTTCTAAAGGTTGCTCGTCACCGAACAGCCTAAAGGTTCTCCCTTGGTTTCCTTTCCTAAGGTGTTTTACTGGCAACGTCTGCATTGGTCATCCAACCGCATCCGCCCCTCTCTTCAGTGATGCTCGCCCCGAGCGCTCTCGTGGTCCAGAATTTGTTGGTCACCTTGCCTTACATTCATACCTCGCTTTCATCCTTTCCTCATTCACTCTTGCTAGGGAGGCCGGTGCTTCTACTACCGGTTCCTCCCATGTGGGCCGTTTTCTTTCTTCCTCTTTGGAGGGGGTCGGCCCCTCCACATTATCCAATTCAGGTACTGATACCTCCTCAGTGTCGATTCTCTCTCCTGCCGCAACCTACAGAATATCCTAGTTGCTCCCTTCATGATTTTCAGCTCTAGCGTCTTCTTGAGGGTCTTATGGGCCGGCCCTATTTCTCCCGGAGGTGGTAGGTGTCTTAAGCTACGCCCTCCGAGATTGATGGCGGTTGCTCTCTTCTTTTTCTCGTATAGTGAACGCTTGCCGCCTCGGTCCTTAATTCCGTCTTTACATCACGTTCTCGTTTGATATCTCATGCCAAACATCCGTTTTCCTGGGATCCTAGTTACCACAGCGCCATTGTTTTGTCCGCAACTCCTGTGTCCTGCACAGCATGTAATCTTCCTCACGGTTGCGGTTGCTTCTTTCCGCGGTCCACAATTACTCTGGGTCGAAATTTCTTGAAGGTGTTCCTCTTGCGCCGTGTCACACCTGCACGACTAGTCATATTTCTGTCGGCAGCCAATTCGTGCCACGGTCCACAATTTCCTTCGGTCGCACGGTGGGTCACCTTCCTGCAGGCGGCAGCCAACTTCCTCCGGGATCCACGAATACCTCGGGTTGGTCCCTATGGCTCCTCGCATAGCCCTGCAGCTTGCTTCTTGCCCCTATGTCGCTTCTTCCGTCATTTGACCGGTTTCACTACGGCGTTTTCAACGGGGACTTCCTGGTGTTCTGCCGCCTCAGGCTTCGTGTTCACTGAGGCCGGCTTTTTATCTTCTAGGCGTGCCTCCATTTCTTGGCAGGCTATCGTCTTTACTTCTTTTTCTAGATGCGCCTCCGTCGTTTCTCGGCAGGCCATCATCTCTTTCTTCCAGGCATCCATATTGGCTTGCAACCTCTTCTCTCGCATGGCAGCCGTCCTTGCTTCGATGGCTCTTGTTCTTGCTTGGGTAGCTTTCGTCTCTGCATCCAACTTTTCTCCCCAAGCGTCTAATTTGGCCATTAAGTCTTCTTTGTCTGTCTCCCTATTTTCCTGCATGGCTCTTATCTCCTTCAGCAGAAGTTCCAACATCTGCTGTGACTCTATGTTTTTTTTCGCGTGTGTAAGTTCGTAACCACTTCTGACACCAGTGTAGCGTGTTTGGCTATGCCACGCTATAAATAACTTTACGCCATATTAAATATAGCGAATCTTTATTGCAATTCACTTGCACACTTTACAACTATTATGACTTGCAGCTTTACAAGTACTGGCTACACAATCCCTTGGCGTCTACGTTCCAAACTTCTTCAGCAGCAGCTATTCCAAGACTGACTGGGCGAATAAATTCAACCCCCTTTTAAGTCAAAGTCAAAGTCATGTTGCAACTGACGGTCGGTCAATCTGTCTGTCTAGGTGTCTAGCCCCAGCTGGGGCTCATGACCAGATGTTTTCTTCTTTGTGAATGTTACTGTCCTGTCTTATTGGGGGCGCCCTCTCTGACGAGAGGTCGGGCCTGTCATTTGTCAGTCATAGTCAGTCCATTGTCAGTATTTACATATATTTACAATTTAATTCTAGACTTAATTTCTATGTCTATGTACTATATATACAAGACCTCTGTCATACCAGGCTCAGTACAGCAGATTATGTCCTATTTCTAGATGTATTCGCTACCACGGCAGTCTATTCACTTGAACGGTCATATGCCTGACCGCCGCCAAGTTTAAGCCTCTTATACTTTCTGTGGCAGGCTTCGCCTTGTCCGATGTTGCGAACATTCTCATTTTCATGATTTTGTATGACTTCAGCTTGTTGCCTGCATAATTTTGTTATGTGATCATATATGTATGGGATTTTGAATGCCATGTGCAAATCGCGGACCGGTGTGCGCCTTGGAAAATTGCCAATGGTGCGGAGAACCTTGTTTTGCAGGCGCTGCAATTTCACCAGATGGGTGTCTGCCGCAAACCCCCAGGTGGGACTAGCATAAGTCATTACAGATTTAATAAGAGCTTTGTGGAGGGTCAGTTCAATGTTAGCCCTCAATCGCTGACTTTTGAATATGGAGTATATTCTAATTTTGGGAACATCCCAGTCAGAGTCAGAGTCAGAGTCAGAGTCAGAGTCAGAGTCTTGTTGCAACTGACGGTCAGTCAGTCTGTCTTGGTGTCGAGTCCCAACTGGGGCTCATGATCAGATATTTCTTTTGAAAGAAAGTTACTGTCTTGTCTATGTGATGAGCCCTCTCTGATGAGAGGTCAGGTCTGTCATTTGTCAGTCAGTCTATATTAATGATCGAATGGCTGTTCGGAATTGAGAGTTGAGCTCAGAACCCGATGTTTCGCATTCGTCAGTCATGCCATCAACGTAGTGTTATCTTATAGAAAATGTTTACGAAACGGATGAACGACACCTGGGCAAGTCTCTAAAATGGGAGGTAGACGGCCTCTATGGAATCACTGACTTTAAGGTTTCTTGAGGGATCAGCATTTTTGCGCGTCACG